CAAAATTTCACTGTCGTAAATGATGGTGCAGAGTCCCCATACACAGAATCCAACTCATCTTTGATTTGCGTAGGCGTATTGCCTTTCAAAAACAAATATTTAATGACAGCTCGATACTCGATTTTGTCCATTTTCACAAAAACACTCACATCAACTTACTCAAACGACTGTTACATAACAACTGCGAGTCCAAAATGGCTGAAACTTCGGTGAGTAACTGTCAACAGATGAACAACGAAATTCACTAGCTTTTATTTACAAGTGCTGCTATCTTCACGTTGAGGTCGGAAACTTTTCAGACCACCCTCGTACAATGCTCCTATTACGTAATGCTTCTATTTATCTTTGTACATGCTTTCACTCCGTAAAAACATATGTAATTCTGTACAACCAATACAATGTAAACTTTGTAGACAAATGGCAATATTCTGTCGATAAAATTTTTAACTTCAGCTTCTTCAAGTTCCATGTGCCTGTTTAATGAAGCGTGAAAACGCAGTCTATAAATAATACTAAACAATATTACAAACGTTATTTTTATTATTTCTCCGTGCTGTTATTATTGGTGTATAGACATACTGTAAATTACAACACTAATAACGTTTTTATTTAATCGCCGAGTTTGATTTTTTATTTTTTACAAGTAGCGATATTTTCTAAATAAAATAATTACAATTATAGCGGATTAAGAGTCGTTACATTGACTAACGTCATTAATTAAATAAGTAATAGTAATAATTGCCATCTGATGCTCACTTTTCACTTCATCTTTAGAAACAGAACGGCGATCGAATACGATTGATTTAGTATCTAGGAAAAAGATTCGTATAGAAATTTGGAGAACGAAATTTGTAAGATATAGCAGTGTCGCAAAGTTATATAATAGACAACACATGAAATCTCACCATCATGAATGAGGGCAGGGAAAGATTGAATTTTTCGAATGTCGCGAGTTTGCACTCCAAGTTATTAGCCATAATTATCAACATAAATATTTTCTTTATCGGCGATTGGCACATATACCATTTGTGGTGAAACGCTTCGTCCGTCACCTCGGTACTCTGCATATACATACCAAGACCAAGCGTGTAATAAGGTATAATTATCAATCAAAAGAGTTTTGCTAGTTAATTGCTTACCGCGTCCAATAATTGCTGCACGCAAGAGCAAAGAATATATAGTTGGACTATCGCCCCTGACGCATACATGAGGATCGATACTGCTTCCCAGAATGTCGTCGAAGGTATCTAAATTTTTACAAAGTGATATAAGCAATATAATATAAAATTGCAAGATGGTCATCGCCTTTGCAATGTCTTTCTAAAAAATATTTCTACAATGATTAACGTTGTCAGTTGTACTCACGGCACTCATCATGATACCAATAAAACAGAATCGCAGTACGCCGTTCATATACAATACGCTGAAGTTTAGAGACAATATCTCTTTCAGTAGCAAAGTTATACTGAAACGGCCAGGAGAGTTTGCAGCCGAGGAAGGAAATTCGACAAATTATCTTAATAATTTGCTTACATAGTTTGAGTTTCTTTGTTACTTTACGTCAACTTATAGGGGAAAATATGCAGTGGTCGGCATTGGACCTATTTTCAGCACTTTTACACAGATATTACTAAATATTAAAATATATGAAAACTTAAAAGAAAATTTATAGTACAAACAAATAATAGTTGCCAAATAATTAATAAGCTTCTATAAACATTAATTTTTCATAAAATCCAAACAACATGCCGGCTACTGGACGTTTTTTCCTATATGAAATTTAAACACTTCCTGTATAGAAATAATTCTGTATGAGCACGACAGACTTTAAGTACTTACTGAATCAAAGTGTTGTGATGTTGGCACAACGCTTTCATCTCTGTTTTCTCCCATTCGGAAGAGCCCGTTTTCTGGTACTCATTGTTTTTATTTCGATTTTGAAATATTGTCGTCATCCGCACCGCGATATATCGATATTGCGCTGTTAACATCAACACCATGTGAACCATATATACGTCCACGCCGACCTTCTTTAGAAACGTATACAGAGTGCCGACTGATAGAACAAAGGTACCCAGGAGGAAGGTTGTAGTCGAGAACGGTTGGTCAGAGAAAGCGACTGGTATCCTGTAATCCTCATAACAGAAGACATCCTTTTCGAATAGCAACACGAGCGGTACGCAGTTCCACGCTATTATTGATATCACGCCTGCGATCAAATAGAACTGAAGCGGAGTCTGGACCGGTTGCATGGTTGTTATCACGATGCTCTTCATAGTATCGTCCGCGACGCGCAGAATGTCATTTATACGGCGAATTACTTGAGCCTCTAGGTCCCTGCAAGCGTGGAGTCGTAGGAAAATGAAGAACATCTCCGCGGAGACCACGATGCAAATCATGCCGTCTTGCAGAGCCTTCTCCTTTGGCACATACAAGCATCCGAAGATTAACGCGATCTCTATGACTATTTGTAACAACCACATGAGGACGCTGTAAATGCGCCAGTGAGTCGAAAACGACGTGTTGTCGGCGGTCATCGTCAGTAGATTACCCGAGATTATGTTCAATCGGACATTCAAAGGATTCACGCTTTGGAAGTCCATGGCTGCTGTTGAGCCTTTAAATTTCCGTCCGCGGTGTTATGTAATCGCGTTTACTTCCGTTTTACATCTCCTTCATCGCACTATGCGTATCTTGCGCGAGAATGATTCCTCTTCGTTCGGAGAACACGTGTAGCTTCTCTAATTTGTAATTTCAAAATGATTCGTGGATCGAGCTTTGTGCTCCGTCGCTCCGCGAGCGAGCCTATATCAAGTTTCCTTTATTGAATTATAAAGAATTAGCAGGTAAAATCATTATACGTTTCTCGAAATTTATCTATTCCTCAATGCTACAATGTATGTTATTTTATAGACAGAATGGTATACACGCGTTTAATACTCTATCGTTAAGATATAATTCTATAGTAAATGTTGCACGTAAATTAGAGAGGAAAAACAGTTCAACGACAAAAGCAGTTTGATCTCACGCAGAATCATATTTTCATTCTGTTTAGAATGTGTCTGTAGACGTAGTCACTAATTTCCTCTTAAGTATCTATACGAGAGGACGATTATCTTATAGTTGGCTTTGTTGGCAGTGGCGGATATTTTGACTTTACTGTCGTAGTGCACTTCTATGCGCGTAAGTCGACGGAACAAAGGGACATAAAACACTTGACGTTAGGAGTTAGTTGATGTCTTTATAAAAAGTTTGTACTAAGTTCAATTTTATGAACTGGGTGCAACAATATTCAAGTCTTTTCGTTATTCGACTGAGCTTTCTTTCGCTACTTGTGGCATGCTAAGGAATATAATAGAATGTAAGGATATGTTGTTGTAAATTTAAATTGTATATTCTGTACTGAAAAAAGGAATTTGGTTGACAAAATCAAAGTTTGGTTAAATTGGAATTAACAAAATATTTGGTAATTATAAAAAGTTTATTTGCCGTTATTTTGCTTTACTTTTTCAGTAATATATTTACTTGGTCACTGAGCAAAGCAAAACAGCCGCAATGAAATTTTTTTATTGCAATTACTAAACATTTGGTTGATCCCATTTTAACCAAGTTTTGATTTCAATAACTTAGTAAATCTTTTTTTAAACATATTGTCACGTATGGTCGGAAATCCATTTTATTTTTCCTCAATTTAATCATATAATAAATCCTTTACATATTGCACGAATATCGCTAGTTTATTGCTTTTACAGATAATTTTTATAAGATTGTATTATTTATTATGTTTCGTACTAATATACTTTCTAACATTCTAACTTAACTTTTTAAATAACTGTCATTAAAATTTTTAATTTTCATACACATAACTTTCGAATTTTTGTTAAGTTCGTATGAATATAATTATTTTTATAACAGCATAATAAGTTGCGTTAATCTGTTTAGTGAATTTCATTACTGGTTTGAAAAGTACGACTGGGGTTGCGTAACTGTGTCTTTAACAATTAGAGGAAAAATTGAGCGGTAGCTGATCCATGTTTACTTTACTCTTAAAAAAAGAAGAGCGATCGAATACGAGTGATTCAGAATCTAAAATGATATATAAAGAATTTTACATGAAAATTTTTTTTGTTTGTATTATATATTGGGAAATGTTGCTATTTATTTTTTCCCATACTTTCATTACATAAAAACATATGTAATTCTGTACAACCAATGCAACGTAAACTTTGTAGAAAAATGTCAGTATTCTGTCGATAAAATTTTTAACTCCTCTTTAGCTCCTTAATCAAGTTCCATGTGCCTGTTTAATGAAGCGTGAAAACGCAGTCTATAAATAATACTAAACAATATTACAAACGTTATTTTTATTATTTCTCCGTGCTGTTATTATTGATGTATAGACATGCTGTAAATTACAACACTAATGACGTTCTTATTTAATCGCCAAGTTTGACCTTTTATTTTTTACAAGTAGCAATTTTTTCTAAAACAAAAGAATTACGAATTACAGCGGATTAAGGGTCACGCTATATTGGTTAACGCCATTAATTAAGTAAGTAATAGCAATAAATACCATGTGATATTTACTCTTCACTTCATCTTTAGAAACAGAAGGGCGATCGAATATGATTGATTTAGTATCTAGGAAAGAGATTCGTATAGAGATTCGGGAAACAAGATTTTTTATATGTAGCAGATGTGTCGTAAAGTTATAATAGACAACATGAAATCTCACCATCATGAATGAGGGTAGGGAGAGATTGAATTTTTCGAACGTCGCGAGTTTGCACTGCAAGTTATTAGCCATAATTATCAACATAAATATTTTCTTTATCGGCGATTCGGACATATACCATTTCTGGTGAAACGCTTCGTCCGTCACCTCGGTACTCTGCATATACATATCAAGACTAAGCGTGTAACAAGGTATAATTATCAACCAAAAGAGTTTTGCTAGTTAATTGCTTACCGCGTCCAATAATTGTTGCACGCAAGAGCAAAGAATATATAGTTGGACTATCGCTCCTGACGTGTACATGAGGATCGATACTCCTTCCCAGAATGTCGTCGAGGGTATCTAAATTTTTACAAAGGCAGTACAGTATAAAATTGCAAGACGGTCATCGTCTTTGCAATGTCTGGAAAGTATTTCTACAATGATTAGCGCTGTCAATTGTACTCACGGCACTCAGCATGATACCAATGAAACAAAATCGTAATACGCCGTTCATGTATAATATGCTGAAGTTTAGTGACAATATCTCTTTCAGTAGCAATGTTGTACTGAAGCGGCCAAGAGAGTTTACAGCGAGGAAGGAAATTCGACAAATCTTAATAATTTGCTTACATAGTTTGGGTGTCTTTATTACTTCGACTTGTAGGGGAAAATGTGCAGTGGTCGGCATTGGAACTATTTTCGGCACTTTTACATAGATATTACCAAATATTAAAACATATGAGGACTTAAAAGAAAATCTATAATACAAACAAATAAAATCTATAATACAAACAAATAATAATTGCCAAATAATCAATAAGCTTCTATAAACATTAATGTTTGATAAAATCCGAACAATATGCCGGCTACTGGACGTTTTTTCCTATATGAAATTTAAACACTTCGTGTACGGAAATAGTTCTATATGAGCACGATAGACTTTAAGTACTTACTGAATCAAAGTGTTGTGATGTTGGCACAACGCTTTCATCTCTGTTTGCTCCCATTCGGAATAGCCCGTTTTCGGGGACTCATCGTTTTCATTCCGATTTTGAAATATTGTCGTGATCCGCATCGTGATATATCGATATTGCGCTGTTAACATCAACACCATGTGAACCATGTATACGTCCACGCCGACCTTTTTTATAAACATATACAGAGAGGCGATTGATAGAACAAAGCTGCCCAATAGGAAAGTTTTGGTCGCGAACGGCTGACCGGAGAAAGCGACCGGTATTCTGTAATCCTCATAACAGAAGACATCCTTCTCGAATAGCAACACGAGCGGTATGCAGTTCCACGCTATTATTGATATCACGCCTGCGATCCAATAGAACTGGAGCGGAGTCTGGACCGGTTGCATGGTTGCTATCACGACGCTCTTCATAGTATCGTCCGCGACACGCAGAATGTCATTTATCCGGCGAATTACTTGAGCCACCAGGTCCCTGCAAGCGTAGAGTCGTAGGACAATGAAGAACATCTCCGCGGCGACCACGATGCAAATCATGCCGTCCTTCAGAGCCTTCTCCTTTGGCACATACAAGCATCCGAAGATTAACGCGATCACTATGATTATTTGTAACAACCACATGAGAACGCTGTAGATGCGCCAATGAGTCGGAAACGATGTGTTGTCGGCGGTCATCTTCAGTAGATTGCCCGAGATCATGTTCAGTCGGATATTCAAAGGATTCACGCTTTGGAAGTCCATGGCTGCTGTTGAGCCTTTAAATTTCCGTCCGCGATGTTGTGTAATCGCGTTTACCTCAGTTTTACATCTCCTTCATCGCATCTGTGATGAAGGCGCGAGAATGATTTCTCCTCGTCCCGTGAACACGTGTAGTTTTTCTGACTTGTAATTTCAAAATGATTCATGGATCACGACCGAGTTTTGTGCTCTGTCGCGCCGCGAGTGAGCCTATATCAAGTTTCCTTTGTTGAATTATAAAGAATTAGCGAGTACAATCATTCTATGTTTCTCGAAATTTATCTATTCCTCAATATATCTTATAGACAATGGTACACACGCGTTTAGTACTTCATCGTAAAGATATAAGTCTATAATAAATGTCGCATGTAAATTAGAGAGGAAAAACAGTTCAACGGCAAAAGCAGTTTGATCTCACGCAGAATCATATTTTCATTCTGTTTAGAATGTGTCTGTAGACGTAGTCACTAATTTCCTCTTAAGTATCTATACGAGAGGACGATTATCTTATAGTTGGCTTTGTTGGCAGTGGCGGATATTTTGACTTTACTGTCGTAGTGCACTTCTACGCGTGTAAGTCGACGGAACAAAGAGACATAAAACACTTGACGTTAGGAGTTAGTTGATGTCTTTATAAAAAGTTTGTACCAAGTTCAATTTTGTGAACTGGGTGCATCAATATTCAAGTTTTTTCGTTATTCGACTGAGCCTTCTTTCGCTACTTGTGGCATGCTAAGGAATATAATAGAATGTAAGGATATGTTGTTGTAAATTTAAATTGTATATTCTGTACTGAAAAAAGAGATTTGGCTGACAAATTTGGTTAAATTGGAATTAACGAAATATTTGGTAATTATAAAAAGTTTATTTGCCGTTATTTTGTTCTATTTTCTTAGTAATATATTTACTTGATCACTGAGCAAAGCAAAACAGCCGCAATAAATTTTTTTATTGCAATTACTAAACATTCGATTGATCCCATTTTAACCAAATTTTGATTTCAATAACCAAATAAATCTTTTTTTGTGCATATCGTCCTGCATGGTCGGAAATCTATTTTATTTTTCTTCAATTTAATCATATAATAAATCCTTTACATATTGCACAAATATCGCTAGTTTATTGCTTTTACAGATTATTTCTATAAGATTGTATTATTTATTATGTTTCGTACTAATACATTTTCTAACATTCTAACTTAACTTTTTAAATAACTGTCATTAAAATTTTTAATTTTCATACACGTAATTTTTCGACTTTTCGTTAAGTTCGTATAGAAATATAATTATTTTTATATATATAACAGCATAATAAATTGCGTTAATCTGTTTAGTGAGTTTTATTATCGGTTTGTAAAGTACGACTGGGGTTACATAGCTGTGACTGTAACAATTAAAGAAAAAGTTGTGGTAGTCAATTTTTATTTTACTCTTAAGAAAAGAAGAGCGGTTGAGTACGAGTGATTCAGGATCTGAAACAATATATGAAGAATTTAAGGAACAAATGTGATTAATGTTAATACATATAATATCGATATTAATATGTGAATAAATATTGCAAATTTTAGAAAAATTTTTTAATGATGCACAATATATATATATATATATATATATATATATATATATATATATATATATATATATATATATATGTATATATACGTACACACATACATATAATATATTATTGTAATACACATCTAAGGTGTACATTATTCAGTCTTACCGTCATAAACGAAGGAAGAGAGAGATTAAATTTGTCGAATGCCGCAAGTTTGCACTCTAAATTATTTGCTGCTATTATCATTAAGAACATACGTTTCAAGGATGATCCAAAATGATACCATTTTTCGTGAAACGCCGTGTCCGTCACTTGCATACTCTAAATTTTGTATATAATGATTTTTAATCGAGATGGAACTTTCGCAATTGGGCGGAGCTATAACGAACGCTGCTTTGCTTATAAAGAAATAATGCCTTTTTCACTTATCATGAATGTAATTGGATATAATTTAAGCGAATTTACAGAAGACGAATTTCGTGATATCTCCGAAAATTGCAAAGTTCGAAAATATAAGGAATAAGTTAGTTTTAACGAAACGTGTACCGCTTCTAATAATTGATGCGCGCATAAGCATAAAATGTAGAGCTGCACCAGTCCGCCGGACATGTACATAAAAATCATTAGTGCTTCCACTGGAGCTGATGATATCTAAATTTAAGAGAAACCTCTAAGTTGAGACTTCGTATAAAAAATAAGCGAAATAAATGTGTCACTTAATACATAATTTTATATTACGTACTACTTTATTTTGATGATCTATAAGACGTTTCAAAAGTTCCACTGCACGAATTATTACTCACCGCAATTATCAGCATAATACCATTAAAGCAGAATCGGAAAACGTTGTTCAAATATATCAAACTAAAATTCACAGATAGTAATTTCTTTAATATCGGCGTTATGCTGAAAATAAGCGTAGAAAAGACGATAACATTCACGAGACGTTGAGTAGTCAAATACATAATAGAAATGCATTATGGACCGAGAATAAAACATTGTTTTGGAGAAAAATGCCCCGTGAAAACTCCGTGAAAGAACATCAAGTCACGAACAATAGAAGGGGCGAGTAGTTAGATTTGGGAAAGATCATCAACTGGCCGTAGTTATGCAAGAATGATCCACCTATATAAAGGATGTTCCGAAAAAAATTTCGAGAAAAAGATGAAAATTTGATTTAAAAAATATAGATAACACTGAGATTCTTTTTTCAAGAAGTTAAGCATGGTCCATTGTCTTCTCTTCAAGGATATTCCTTGACAAACTTATCTCTAAAAAATTGGGTAAAAATACGTAACTATAGTAAAAAAAATGGCGCAATTAGTAGAAAATAAAAACTATTTTTAATTAATTTTTGGTGTCCATGAGGTTTAGACTTTTTTCTAGTTTATGTGGAAAGTCGTATGCACTGCTCATTGGTAAAACAAAACTCAAAAATCATAATTGCATCAGTTAGATCAATCTTGCATAAATATGTCCAATTTTACTTACTGAATTATAGTGTTGTGAATTCGACACAAGTCTTTCATTTCTGTCTCCGCCCACGAATTCGCGTCTGAATATCCTTTTGGAGACTTCACCCGTTGATTCTGCGAGCTACTTTCCCGAAATAATGCCGTGAGTCTCGTCGACACGTAGCGATACTGCGCCGTCACTAGGAGTATGAGATTTATCATGTACACGTCCATGGCTACTTTTCTTGTAAATATATATATGCTGGAAACAGTCACGATCAAGTTTCCCACTAGGAAGACGTCCAATGAAAAGGGTTGCCTCGAGAAGGCCACCGGCACTCTGTAATCTTCGTAGAAGAAGTGCCGCCTTCCCAAGACAGGCACGAACGACATGCAGCACCACACAAATACGGATACAGACCCGGCTATCCAGTAAAACTTCAACGGAGTCTGCACCGGCTTCAGAGTCGACCTCACGATGCTCTCCATGACATCGTCTCGCTCGCTCAGGAAGTCGTTCAGCTTCCGAATCAGTCTGCTCACGAGATCCCTGTGTGCATGCATTCGCGCGAACAAAAAGAAAGCCTCTACGCTGATGACGACTCCGACCGTCGCATCCTGCAAGATTTTCTCCCTCGACACGTACATGAGCGCCGGAATGATCGCACTGACTTGCACCACCTCCATCAGCCACACGACAGTGCTGTATACCCTCCACGCTATGGGAAACAGCGGATCGTCGCCTGTCATCGGCAGCAGATTGCCCGAGAGCTTGTTCAGTTGGGCGTTCAAGGGGTTCACGTTTTGGAAGTCCATGCTTTCGAAAACGCTGTTTGCACGGGAAATGGATGTCGCACTTTCGCGCGAATTGTGCACTCGCGTGATTCCCTTCTGACCTGACTCCTTCTTTGAGTTGGAAAGAGATTACCGGACTAAAAATTCAACGATTTTGTCAAACACTCTTGCGAGGAAAATGTATCCGTTTATTTCACTTCCGCGCGCGCGCGGTCGCGCGGCTCGACTCTTTCAGTACTCCTTGCTTCGTTCAGAAGGATACACATGAGGCTTACGGTTGAAATTAAAAAGCTCGCAGACGATCAGTCTAGCTCGAGTAGTTTATTACTTTCCCCGAGCTCTCCCGCTTCTTCTTCATTTGCGCTAATATAATATGCCCTCGCGTGGGACGGACGGTGACATTTCGCTTCCCCCTTGTCGCAATTACTAATGTTCTGTGATTGGCACATGGTCGTATGATAGTTTAATGATAATCGATATTGTAGCATATCTCGATATGCATGACAGTTTGAGGAGGCCTCGCGATCGTGCATAGCGAGAAAATAGAGAATTTGCGGGTAATTTTAAGGAATACATCGTGTTTATTCTGTTTACGGTGGAGACGAACGCGACTATAAGCTTCGTCTATAAGCAACGATTATCTTATGGTTTCCCTTTTCTTCTTGGGTTGCAGGGTCTCGAATTCGGTGGAAGTTGCGATACACATGACATTGCCAGATGCGCGTCTCGCGTTGAAAAGAGTGGTGAGACGATTAATCCGCGACGAGTCAAGTCGGAGAGCTGCAGGTGCCAATGTTGTTCCACAAAGTGTCTCGAAAATGTTTGTTCGTGGATCTACGACGATTAAAGTGAGTACACCTCATCGATACATTCCTTAGAGAAATTAAACGTTAATATTAAATTGCTTGTTTCACAAACGAGCGTTCTTTTGCATTTTAATTTAATCATGCCAACATTTCCTCCCTAAATTGAGATATGAGCGTTAAAATTGTTGTCCACTAATTTATTCAGAATGATCTACAAGATTTCTATGCCATATTACCTACAGCTTTATTAATTTTCCACAAATTCCATATTTACTGTGCAGTCTAGAGACCAATAGGCAATAGGCAACAAAAATGAAATAAGATATCGTGTGTATCATAGTTATCAGTAGTGTTTCAGTCTCTTAAGACTTCGTACTATATTCGTGTTTTCCTGACCATTACGCAAACCATGTTTATCTATGCTTTTTTCTCTGTCTTACAGCCATGTAGAGAGTAGTGTTCGTTCCAATGATTATTCTTTACTTCATTTTCAAGCACAAAAGAGCAATCGAGTATGACTGCTGTATGATCTGGAACATTGTTGGAAAATTTGTCAAAGGGACTAGGTAATGATTATAATATAGTAATAATAGATTATCATTGTATAATTGTTTTACAAAATGTTTTATTTGGATAATAAATTAAGTCGTACCATTATAAACGAAGGCAGAGACAGATTAAACTTTTCGATCGCTGCAAATTTGCACTCCAGATTATTGGCCATTATGAAAGACAGAAATATACGTTGCTGTGCTGCTCGATATTGATACCAGCATCCGTGAAACGCTATATCTGTTATTTCTGTACTCTATATCTCACAAAATACACGATAAGAAGAAATTATTAATTAATTGCCGTTTCCATTATAACCAATTAATTAACCGATTATTTAATATATTCTCACAATATTTATTCATCTTACCGCGTTTAATAATAATTGTACGGAAGAACACAAGAGAAAGAATTGCATTAATATGCTGAACGTAAATAGTAGAACTGAGAAACTTTCCGCGAAAGTCAACGACGGTATCTGAAAATCCGTGAAAATCGTGACACATTTTAAGATAATTGACATTAATTAGTCAACAATATCGTATTTTATACAAGCCGCACGTTCGGTCGACAATTATCTGGCTGATGATTGTTCAGACGATACCTCTAATGCAAATAAGGTTAACGATTCTGAACTCTTACTCACTGCGGTTATCGTAACACAGAGAAAGCAAAACCGGAGAACGCTTGTCAAGAAGATCAAACTGAAGTTCAAAGACAGCAGCTTCTTCAGTATCAATGATATGCTGAAACACAGAGTGTTTGTAAGCACGACAAGATGTAAAATCGAAAATACTTCTCTATTACGCAGTCCCGACTCTGATTAGAGGAGTGCAGCGTGCTTACCATATAACGGTGTTGTAATGTTGACACAATGTTCTCAACTCTTCCACCCATCGATCTTCCTCAGAGCGCCCTCCCCCAGTCTCCCGCGGATGTCGGAATAACTGGGCGAGTTTTATTGCCATGTATCGATATTGCGCGGTCAATAGCAGCACTAGGTGCATCATATAAACGTCCAAGCTGTACTTTTTGAGAATTCGAGACGAGCCACCGAACGCCATGATGAGAATCGACGGGATCAAGACGGAGGTGGAGAATGGTTCGGCGGAGAAGGCCGTTGGAACATTGTAATCCGAGTAGAAGAAAGTGTTTCTGTTGAAAACCAACAAAAGCGGCTCTATGTTCCACACCAAGAACGAGATAACGCTGAATATTCCATACAACGTTAACGGCATTATCTTTGGCTTCAGGATCGACCTCACGATGTCCTTCATAGTCTCATCCGCGTCTCGCAGCAGATCGTTCAACTTGCCGATCACCCGTTTCAGTAGCTTCTTGTGCGCGTAGAAACGAGTGAGCATAACGATCACTTCTATAGTGACCATGACGCCGATGCTGCCCTCCTTCAGAGTTTTCTTTTGCGGCGCCAGGATTAAACCGAATATGAACCCGGCGATCTGTATCACTTCGATCAACAGTATGATGACGCCATATGCTCGCCAGAGAATAGAAGGTCGCGAGTCGTCGGGCGTTATCGGCAATAGATTGCCCGACAGCAGATTCGCTCGGATATTTAGAGGATTCAAATTTCGAAAATCCATGTTCTTTTTCTCTCTTTGTCCTTCGATCTTCATGGTAGTTTCGAATTACATTGACGACAAAGCAGTCTGTGAAAGTCGGTGGTTCAATCGCTCGCGTTCCCCTTCCTTTACGAATGAGGATGAGCGACCCTCTCTGTATTTAAAGTACAAAGAATTGAAAATTCTAAGTTAATGCTATTCTGCAGTTCACTATTCCCTTTGGGTTTTACTTTATTCCAAGTTCTTATTAATATGTGATATATGATGTTCCGTTTCGCGGAATCGTCGCGAACTTAATTATCGTCAACAATGTAGCATATTTCCGAATAATGATTTCAAAGGGGGACTTGTCATGAAGAAACATATAAGTTTATAAATAAGTAGACATCGAGAGAGAGCAATACACCGTGAAAGGGTGTAATTTGTTCAACACGATGCTACATTTGTCATGTAGTTGATTTGCAGAGCTGACTAATATGAGAGTCTGAAATTATCCACGTGCACGTTCTATGATACTGAATTGATCAGCGTACACACTGCAGCGTGTCCTCGGACAAATGTGACAATTATCTTATAGCATCCCGTTGTTCTTTGCAGAGCAGGGGATTCGAAACAAGTCGCAGTACCTGATGATGTTCCACGTTTTGTGCGAGAAAGAGTCACCGAGGATTAATCCACTGGATCCACTGTCCACTTAATTCGGGTGGACATCGAAAGTGCTATGCCACAAAAAGTCTCTAAATTTACGAATCAATGGCCACAGTAAGTATATTCCGAAAGATCAATTGACTAATTAACTTTTAGTTGTATATGCTGATGGTATATGATGATTTGTATATATATATATATATCTTTCATTGATAATGAGTACCATAGATATTAAAGAAGAAATAGAGCACGACACAAATGATCAATAAATTTATTTATTTGTGTTTACCTCTGATTTGATAAAAATCATCGTAGGAAAATAAGGGTGATAGGAGACGAATTTATCGGTAGCGTTATCATGGAGCTAATAAAAAAGAGATAAATTGAGCCAAAATGTGAATTATATTCACACTTTTGCGTCATTATGTGAATTAAGCCTACGGCACACGGTGCGTGTTTTCGTGTTAATCGTGGTAATCGTATGCGACTTAACCATGCGAACAAATATGCTAGCTATAAAGCTAGAAATTTTGTACGCTGCGTGTTAGCTTGCTAGTTTTAGATGATAAAACATATGCTATTTTTGCTACGTGTTTTGATGCTAGCTGAGTAAAAGTGCAACATGTCAGAACTGGCAATATATGATAGTAGGTAATTAAATATATATATATATATATATTAATATTATCATTATATATATTCCGTATAATAACTTATTTGTGTAATGTAATTTTTGTATAATTATATATATACATATTGTATATAATAATTATTTTTAATATTTTTTATAGTGGTAAAAGTTGCAAGAAAAAAAATTAGCTGCAATAACTCTTTTTTATTAATAAAAAGAAAAGAAGAAATAAAGAAAATAAAAGAAAAATTTGAGTTAAAATGTCGGTTTTAGGTCGGTATAAAAAGTACAAAGTACAACTTAGTGTAACTAAAAAGAACAAATCTACGTCTATCACGTGAAATGAAAACTAGCAGCATTGCCATTTTATCAACACGCAACGCAGTCCACAGCGCAGCGCGCAAGGAATCTGTTAACTAAACTAGCAGCAAAACACGCACCGTGTGCCGTAGGCTTTAGACTCGTCTGAGCTATCCGTCTTAAAATCGCATCTCTTAACTCCCTTTACCCCTTGTAATCACCTGTCATTAGATACATACACGACATACGATTACCAATTATATGTAATAATTAACTGAGATGGTCCAGAAATCCTATATTTTCCATACTCGAGACGTGTCCCTTGTTGCACTCAATTTGCTCTTAGAAATAAAAGTGCGATTGAGTATGATTGATTCATGATCTAAAAAATTGCTAAGTTAAAAAAAATCGTTAAATAATTTGAGGAGAGGAATTTAAAACGTTGAGAATTTCACAAAGTAAAATAATAATGCAGATGTTGTGTAAAGTTTTACCGTCATAAAGGAGGGCAGAGACAGATTGAACTTCTCAATCGCCGCGATTTTACAGTCCAGATTGTTGGCCATTATCAGCAACAAGAATGTAACTTTCATCGACGGACCACACTGATACCAGCTTTCGTCAAATGCTTTATCCGTTATTTCCGTACTCTATATTCGATATGTAAATAATGATTTGACGTATATTCAGTTCTTTATATCGATACACTTCTTTCTTGCTTCCGTACATTCAGAAAAATGTTTCGATAAAAAACATTAACAAACAGATATTTCTGATCAAATCCCAATCAATTTTTATATTTGATATGTCCGATTAAATTTATTTGGATATTTCCGATCATAACGGCATTTCATCAGATAAACCGATCAAAAAATTATGAACCGATATTTCTCATCAGATGTTTCCTGATTGAATACAAAAATTCATCGGTATTTTTCTCGAAAATATTCGTTTGTAAATTTTTTATCGGATAATTTCTCCTAATGTAGAAAGAATTGCGCAATGCGAGAGATCTTACCGCGTCCGACAACGTTTGCACAGAGGAACATAACAGAAAGAATTGCATTACCGAACCGAGTGAGAACAATATGATGGACATCCCTTCCGTTAAAGTTAGCGATGGTATCTGAAAATATATAAGAATGTTTCGCTCGTCATAGAAAAAAATTCTTTTATTAATTTCCCTCTTTCCTCCGTTGACTGTACAATTCTCAATACGATCGATCTTAATTAATTGGAAAATAGTTTTATAGAACAATTAACGTTAACAATTAGTACTCACTGTACTCATAAGAATACCTATACAACAGAAGCGAAAGACGCTGTTCATGTAAAGCAAACTGAAGTTCACAGATAGCAGTTTTCTCAACATAAACGATATGCTGAAACACGAAGAATATGCTCGTGGAATCCACAAAAATATTGCAAAGAATTGTAAGAAAAGCGCGTTTAAGCGTTGAGTAAAATTTGGAAGTCGCTGCGCGATCTTAGTTTCTTGAGGACGTAATCGTTCAATCGGATCAGCCGGTCATTTTGGCTATCCGATCGAACGAGAAATCCGTTGTTATTTAATATCTGTTTATTTCTTTTTTGTAATTATCAATTATACGTTATTCATTACCGATTCGACCACAACGTGCTTACCGTAAAACCATGTTGTGGTGCCGACATAACGTTCTCAACTCCCTTTCCATCCGCCGATCCGTCCCACGACGAAGCGTCTTGTCGCGCCAGTCGTCCACGCGACTATCCTCGTGAAGATCTCGAAACAACAACATCAGTCTCTCCGCCGTGTATCGATACTGCGCGGTCAACATCAGCACCAGATGCATCATGTACACGTCCACACTGTATTTCTTCAGGAACAGCAACAGGCTGCCGATCGTCATGAAGACAGAGGACACGACCAGCATGCCGCGCGAGAACGGCTCAGTGCTGAATGCGCACGGCAAATTGTAATCCACGTAGAAGAAGGCGTCCTTGTCAAAGGCAAACGTCACCGGCTGTATGGTCCATATGATGATGGTCGATCCGGCTATCAGGCCGTACAACGTAAAGGTCTTCGTTATCGGACTCAAAGTTGACTTGACGATGTACTTCATCGTCTCGTCCGCGTCGCTCAGGATGTCGTTCATCTTGACGACGACTCGCTCTAATATCTTCCGGCTCGTATAAAGTCGGGTGAGCATGAAGGAGACCTCCAGGGTGACCACGACGCACACGGTGCCGTCTTTCAGGGCTTTCTCTGGCGGCGCCAGAACTAACCCAAAGATCAGCGCGATCGTGTGAACCAGTTCAATTATCCAAACGATGATGCTGTATACGTGCCAGATCAGCGAAAATGTCGAATCACCGCCCGCTATCGGCAGCAGATTGCCCGACAGCAGATTCACTCGACTGTTCAAAGAATTCGCGCTTCTGAAGTCCATGTTGATGGCGCGATTCTTCATTTATCAAAGTAGTCTCGTTCAGCGTGGCCTACAATCACGGTTGGCATCTGCGATTGTATTCGCGTTTGCGTTAATTTCCGTCTCGTGTGAAACAACACTCTACGTCTTCGCGAACGTTGCTCCCTATACAAGCGGAAACGAATGACTTTTGTGTCATCACATCGGAACTTACAGTAGACCGCCCATCGACTCGACGTTTCCCTTGCAATTCCGTTTCTCTTCCTAACTCACATTAATATCGTGTATTTGCGCCTTTGTTCATCGACTTAAAATATGAAGAATAAAATATGTGTTTGAATGGACTATAATTTCGAGCGGGATAGCACATCGCAAATAAGTATGTCGCGATACTATACGACTATTCATTATACGTGATGAATGTGTGCGCTCTGGTCTGTTTATCAGGTGAACAGACGAAATCATTAGCTCTCTTGTAATTGCGTTCACCATGCTGGTGAAGCAACAATTATCTTATGGTATGCTGTTAAACGTCGCGAAATGCGGAGCTGCAGTATTTGACATTCCGCAGTGTGCGTGTCGTGGGCAGTAGGACGACAGCAGACCCCAGAATGTACAAATTAATTATCGAGGGGTAGAATTGACCTCGAGTGAGTGGAGTTTCGTGTCGGAGCAACTTTAGAGAACTGCTATTGAAACAGCCACCGTATTCTAACGGAGAAGTTGCAGTAAAACAAGGTAATGAAAATAACATTGTTACTAACAAATATTGTTTTTTAATCGAGACTAAAGTTAATTTGCGCGAAAGGTAACTCAAGCTCCACTGCCAGAGAAATCATCGACATCTGTCTTCTTTCAATCACTTTACAAAACTATTTCTATTACTAGCGAAAAGAGTTAGTTAGAAGAGGGAGCGTGGTGTCGTGCATCACGATATTTGCTCCAAAGAGGTTTTTATGTATCTACAAATATAAGGGATTAATCGTTTTTATAAAAATGCACATTTTATTTGGCACATTTACATGTTGACATGTGCTCGCAAATCGGCGACACGTCGTTCGACATTAACGCTCATTTGCGCTTTCACACATCACATACATTACACATGCTAATCAGCGATGATACATCTGTTGCATCAAAGATATTTTTACATTAAAAAAATTACTATACACAAGTTAAAATAACAATTAAGCGTTCAACAGTGGAAGATCTGAAAAAAGCCAACACAGTAACGAAATTTAAAAGAAGAACCATCAATTTTTCATCTTTACAAATTTTTGTTTGACATATTTTTTCGATGCTGCGTTGTAAAAAATGATTTCTATTATAAGTGAAAATTTGCGTATCAACATCGATAGTGATAATTCCAGAGTTCTCAGTGTCAACGCGGAATCCAGAACGCCTTATCGACTGATGCAGTTGCGAATGAACGAATTTGCCATAATAAATACACGTTTCGTGTTTCCCAAAAGCGATGTAAACGAATGATATCATGCCGCTGTAACTTACAGGCGCATGTGTCGAGCAAGAATATATTCTAAAAGCCCTCGCACGACTGCAACAGTCTAACTAGTATGACACTGAGGATGCTCGAGACTACACTCGAAGTGAACGAAGACGCTGCGGAATATCCTTCCAGGCGATGGTACACCTTCCTGTCGCCGAGGAGCTGAACGGGTCTGTAATTGTGCTGCAGGGCGTAGTCGCCGTTCATCACGCTTTTAAACACGTTCACCTGTTCACCCGAACACAGAGACGATTTAGATCGCGGAAAGAGAGCTTTTCGCTCGAAAAAGAAACTCGCCTTCAAAACAAACATGCTTTTTCAATTTCGTCTTCAAAACAAACATGCTTTATCACTTTCGTAATACGAAATAAATTAACGCTTCTCTGAGCGCTCGATTGAGAAAATCCTGTCGAATCACCTGTGTTTCCGATACCGTGAGCCTTTCGGTCATGATGAACCACATGACGGACTCCTGGCATCCCGGAGTGGTCAAGGACCCCTGATAGTGGTAGTACGTTGTGTGGTCCTTCGGCAACAGCAGAAAGGGTATCAGCTTCTTTTGTATAGTCACCATGCTCTTTCCCACCCAGTGCGATACCATCTCCGTCAATTTTAGGATCACTGTCAGGTCCACATTATCCTCGGCGCTCAACTGCAACGAAGGTACGTAAACGCATCGTCTCTACGCGAAAATACGCTCGCATTCATGTGAATGTTGCGCGAATGGATAACGCGTTTCCCACCTCGAACAGCACGGCAACCACCACTACGCCGTTCTCGTGTTCCGCGGCTACGCTGAAATTCTCGTACTGAATGTCGTAATGCACGAAATGCAATTCCAGCGGGTAACGAGTACTGTCCACGGTGTGCTCGGCGTCCCAGTGAAAATGCATCTGCTCCAGAACGTACAGCGACGGCAGATTGCTGCCGCTCACGTGGATCGGCACTCCGCCCAGCTTAACTTGCACTGTGACGCGATTCATTACGAAAACATATGCCTCTTTTTGATTTTGCCAACTTATTCTGATAGTCAATTAGTCTCTCTTACATTTTTACTTAAAATATTCAACTGTACTTAACATGTTCGCTATTAATGTGACAGATGTATGACAACGACATTTTTCTTTGTGTATCCACATGTAAACAAATCAAGTCTGTTTTGTACAGTGAAAACAAATGTAACGTGTTCTGTAGAGAAAATTCTTCAAATCAACTGTGGCAGCGAACGTGTAAAATTTTTCTTTCAAAAAATATATTCAGAAGACATGTATATTTCCATTGAGCGCTATTTATATAACTAGATCCTATATAGTCTAACGTGGAGCTTACCGGAATGACCGGTGTTTGTTACCGTGCCGGGAAACGCGAAGTCGTATCGGTCGAATTTGAGTGCACCGAGATCAGACCTTATGGCCTCGTCTGTTACAATATCGATCGGCGACTGCTTCTTCCCGGTTTTACATATTCCCGTCCAGTTCTCTGGTCCTGTGGAGTTGTTCAAAAAATTTGCTAACACGCGGACAGAACAATTGTGATTGCAATGAATGAATGTGTAGCTAAATCGTATACCGATTGTTACAAAAAAGAAAAAATAAAAAATGTCTTGTTCATGATAGTTCTAGAATGTGCAATATTCCCTTTTTCCCTTACTTTCTTCTTTTTTTTTTTTTTTTGGAAGGAACGACGAATTTCAATTCGTAATTTTGCATTTTGCGTCCGCATGTGAGATGTGCGTTCTAATTTATGCGTCGTATCGTTGGTATTTTGGCAAGCTTCTCAGGCCAGTATTTGTTAGGGGACGAGTCATTTGTGCGTTATTACCGAACAATGCGCTTACTTGAACGATTCTTTTGTTTCATCAATACACTGACTTCGTTCACTAAATACCTTCAAGTGACAGTCAAGGCCGCGGTTATTAGATCGTTAATGGCCTGCATGCAAGTTTCACGTAAGCGAGGAGAATGCACTTATCGCTTATTACGAGTGAAGCATCGAGCTTGAGAATCGCGAAAACGACCTTATCCGTCTGATATTCGTATCATTTTTTTGTCTGTATTCTTGAGAACTATTATCGTTGAGTGGAAGTAATTATAAATTACACGTTTCCGATAAAGCACCGTTGCCGCAAGCACATTTCAAGTGAGCAGAAGCTCAATTATTGCAAATCGACTGGATGGAGACCAGACGAAAAATTCGCAGATAAGAAATAATATGCAGAAATTATTCGTAATTTTTTTTATCAGTTTATCCGATGATATGCCATTATGATCGAAACCACTCAATTAAATTTAATAGGATATCCTGATCGAATATAAAAATTGATCGGAAATATCTGTTTGCTAATTTTTTATCAGATAATTTCTCTCAGTTTTATCTCTGCGACCGAAAACATTCGTCTAAACAATCGACTGCGTTAAAACTCGCTCGAAATAGCTGAGAGCAATTTGCCGAAACCTTGAGAGCAATTTGAAAACTTAAAATCTGCGAAAGACGATCGTTCCCACAAACGATTTTCTCATCCGGTCCCCGAGCGACGGAAAATGCAGTTGCACTAACAGAGTTGTTTAGTCCGTGTAATAATCGCAATTACCATGTTCGCCCCCATAGTCCCAGTCACTCGCTCTCGATGCGTGTAATCCTGCAAACGAAACACACACAATATTCGTCGTTGCTGCATGTTGCACACATGATAACAATGCGATTATTATCATTAACGTAGCACCTCGCGGTTTACCGTAATCCGCGCCGATTCCGCGGCGTCAGGTGCGAAAATTCGTCAGCGCGACATTTTACGGAGACGCGTGACGATCGCTGTCTGACGAAGCCGGCATCGCGACCGCGTCCTCAGGCCGCGGCATCAATTTGACGAGAACTCGCACGAACGACCAATAAAATAATTATTTCCACGTCGGCGCGCGCGCGCGCGCTTACATTCGGCTCTCCGGTGAGCTCGATCGGTAATTGAACGCGCACGACACAGGAAACAGAATTGACCTCATTGACCGCGCGCGCTCGCGGCGAATTTGTTCGCACTTGTTCCCAATTCGATCGAACGGCCGAGGAAAAGCCGACGGCGAAGTCGTCGTCGTCGGCGCTCGCCGCGTCGCTGAAGGAGGCCGCGTGCCCGCGCCTTTGGCGTCGTCATCGTCGACAACTGGACCGCAATCGGTAGGATAAACGCCGGCGCTTTCTGGATCAGCGCGCGCCGCAACCACGACAGAATCGCTCAAACGGCAAACAGACTTTAACGAGCATAATGCACACTTCCGCTACAGGGACAACGAGCGACCGGCTGATCGCCGATCGGGATGAGTTTCGTCCGCAGTTAGGGATATTTGAGATTGCGCGGGGCACAAATAGGTCGACATTTGGGCATTTGTCGTGCGCTTTCTCACGGTACAAGTTGAATCGGGCAGCAGGAGGAAGAGAAAGACAAAAGGAGGAGGTGAGACGTCGTGCCACTTCTCGTTATTTACAGCGCGCTCTCTTTCCACGTGTTCAACAGACAACGTTGTGTTATGAAAGAAAACGTGAGAGACGAATGGTCGAGATATCGAACGTAGATACAGATAGGCTGCCCGCTCTATTTTCTTTTTTGGCGTTAGTCCCGAAAAGCGTGAGTCCGTCTCGCCCAGGAGAAAGCAAATCCTCTCATTGGACAAGACGATGTGTAACGATGCTCGCGCGAAAAATAGCAGACCACCTGTCTCTAGTCGCACATTGCGGCTTGTTCCCGCGTGCTTTAGATAATGAGATATTGAAATAGAGAGAACGAACGATCGGAAAAAAAAGAAAATAAGCGACAGCCCGCGCGAAGATACGCGCGTGAGAAAATAAACGGAGAGGAAGCGGCGCGAGTTTAAGTTAAACAAAAGTGCGTGCGCCGAACGATTCTGTACGCGGAAGTAGTACGTGGGGAACGAGGAGCGCGAAATTTTGCGTTTCGACTCGAAAGTCCACGCAACTGGATGTGTCACAACTGATATGGACCAATTGTTAAAAAAGAAAGAATCGTGGGACGAATCTACATATATATACAGAGTGTAAACTAACTTCATTTCTCTTCATTAAATAATGTTATCTTCGGCATCAAACGGTTGATAGAAAACAAAAATTTCATATTTTGCACTTAGTTTTAGAATAGCTCGTAACTCTTTGTAGTACCTTTAACTTTGCAAGCTGTTTAAAACAGAACGTCTGTCTGTCTGTAAATTCCCTATAAACTTCTGAACCCTTCAACTGATCTGAATCAAATTTTGCGTAATTACTGTCTAAGAGTCCGCGGAAAGGCCCCATGAAATCTGGACACACCTCCCATCCCCAGCCCCTGACTTCATCCTCTTAACACCTTGTGATAACTCGGACAACGCCGGGTAGAGCTTAAGCTGGTAGATCCATAAATTACGAGAACAGGTGGGAAAGGGACAAAACCGCACTACTCACGTGTTGCGCGAGCCGATACCAACTGCAGCGATTTCCGATGATTCACGAAATCACATGCGATAACCGCGAATCGATTGGCTGAAAAAACTCAGATTCGTCCAGATTTTCATCGGCAATTTTTCTTTCTCCTCAGCGTAACACCGATCGACTCGTCCGAACGGTTTGGCAGGCGAAAGAACGGTACGGCAATCGCGGCGGGAATGAGCAATCGAGCGAGTGAAGAGCACGTGAAGAGTCCTTACCTAGAAGAGCGAGACCGATCAGGCGGAGGAGATGCATCGCGGGGAGCCACCTAGGAAGGAACGGTCGCGACGGTCGTGACATACGAGCGCGATGACGACGGGCATACGACTGATGAATCCCGACGTGAATCTAAATGGATAACCCCGAGTGATTACACGAGGAACTATCGCGCGAGAGAGATTTAACGTGCCGGGCAATGCGGAGGAGGCCCCGCCGGTTCGTGATCTGCAACTGGACCGCAACGGCTAATCGGCTTATCGGACGATAGAAGTCATACTTCTTAATCTGACACCGCGCTGACTACGTAATTTACGATTTATTCTCGTACAAGCGATTGATAAAAGTGTCGTAAGAAGTGTTTAAGCGCGTTGCATCACATTTCGCCAGAAGGTTGCATCACATGAATACTAGACTGCTGTGGTCCGTGCGAATTGGGACGACTGTTCGACTAAATATGAATTCGCGAGCGGACAAAACACGTTTCAAAATCTTAAATTTAGACTCGCGTTTTGCGCATTCATCGACCGATCGTGTGTAACGTCCGTTTGGTTCACGAGCAGCTGCAGGTACCTTCGGGGATCTTATATTGGCTTAAAATAAATAACAGCGTCATTCTTACAGGAGCGTTCCTGGGAGCCATGTTTATGCAATCAGAAGAGATATATGGTAAAACCAACATAAGTGCTCATACAAAGTGTTTGATGATAACATATGGAACTCCCGTGTAGATCAGATCAAACGAAAAATTCCCTCATTTATTCTGCAAATAACCTCGTAAAATTTTGAGTTATTGTTGAAAGAAAATTAGCGAGTAATCACGCGCTAATCTTATAAACGAAAGAAGATTCGAAAACCTGCGATCGTTGACCAAAATCTTCTTTAATCAAAATAACTCAAGTATCTATGTGGTTGTTTGGTAGAGCACTTTTTTGTTCAGTCTAACTTAATCCGCACAAGAGTTTCAAGTGTCATCATCGGATACCTTGTATGTACCTTCATTATCAAAATAACCGAGTTTCCCCAACATTTTCTAAAATATATTTTATAATACAAGAGAAACAATTGGGAGATTTTGTCAGCAAAAATTCAAAACACGCGTAGACTTTCTAGAAAATCGGAATATACTCATTTGAAGAATTTAATTTATGAAAAATATAGAAACACCACGAAACCGGAAAGAGGACGACTATGATCCGCAAACGCAAAGAGCCGCGGGATGTTATCAAAAAGTTTGCGAGATGCTCTTTACCTGCGCAAAGCAACGCTAGCGTAATCACCAGTGGGCAATCTAAACCGAATTTCACACGTGATGCACATGCCGTCATTTTGCCGAGATGCAACTGGCACGACGACCGCCGCCCGACTGATCTACACGGTGCAAATTTCTTGAAGAGACGACGTGCTGACGACATGCTGACGACGTGCCCAAACCACGGACCCCCGCGAAATTGCACTTCCGATCAATCGATCCGCAAGGCGCGCCTCCGATCGACATCGATGACAGTCGCGAGTTCGCGCTCGAGCGAAGTTTCTGCGAGTCTGACATTCTTCAAAGATGGTAATAACGAGAGAAAAAAAGAGTAAAGCTTTCGCGAGAGAGAAATCCCATTTCGCGCGACTGTACCTTCAAAATTGAGAGTTCTTATCCCGAAAGTTTTCTCTGCTCCATTCTTTCGTTTGTATCCACAGTGTTTGAGGAAACAACTTGATCAACATTGCGCAGACAGTTCGAAGTAATTAAACGTGAAATGTCATTTGGAACGCAGTCGACGGCGTTTCTCGAACGCGCGTGGCTCGAGCGTTCAAATTACCAATGAGTTCAGATATTTTTAGAGGTAAGTGAGTATACACGAAATCATGTTACTCGTGACACGTTCGTGTCCTGCTTCTCGTCACTCCTAATGGATCAAATGCGGATATATATCATCGTGGCCATTAGAGCCCTTCAAAATCGAAAGCTACAATGTTGCTCTTTCGTCCGAGCGAAGCGCCGAAGCATACAGTCTTCGCCAAAAGATCGCGCGTACTGAGAAAAATCTCTCGGTTATAAGAATAAAAGCATGTTTGCTGTTTGATGATCGTCAGGGAAACAGATCGACCTTGCATATCATTACTTCTCGTTTGCCATTTTAATGAACATGAGATACAAATCATTAATTGTTCTCGTCTATTTAGGCTAGAGTTAGGTTAGTTATATTGCCGTCGTACAAATGTTATTTGGAGCGGCAAATTGGAAGTAAGGGATTGTCTACAATGCGGTCGTAGTTGCGTTTTAAAGTCTGCAAATCGATCTGTTTCTTTCGTAAAACTCGTGCAAAATGAAAAGTTTTATCGGATAAAACTTTCTCTTTTTTCGAATTGACTCGTACAATTTATCAAGAGCGATTTATTTATATTTCCACGACTAAAGTCGTGTTTCAAGTGCCAAAATGTGTATAGCGTGCCTCCATAAAATATCTCGTTTATCTTGGCAATACGAACACGTGGCATCTTCACACAGTCATCTTGCGAGTGTCAACGTCGAAGTTTGTCCCAGCGAGATTTGCATAAGTCGACGTAAGTCGAAGCGAGAGCACGTCGGCGCGGGAAACAATGTTAAATTTACTGGTCTGGTTTCCGCACGTGTAATGCGGCAAAGGGGAGCTCTCCCCCATCTCCCCCATGATGCGGTTAATTATGTCACACGATCCTCTCTATGTCTCCCCCTCGAAGTTCCGATATCCTAGCGATGCTGATTGGAATACCGACAACGATGACACATTGCGCTAACTAAAGCCGTTCTCATACATACACATACACACACATACACATACATACGCTCAGACAAAGACAATGCTACTTCGCGATCCTTTCACAACGCGCCGGTTGCATTATAACCCTTTATGTCATATTTCCTTTCGCGATTAAAGATGCCTTTTCATCGGGCTCTCTCGCATAGTGGAATGTTATTTGGCAACGTCACAGCCGTGGGTAACTATTTCAAGTTCCACGCACAAACGCGGGTTCCCACGAATTCAGCGGCTGGCGATCGTAGACGCGGTAAAAATAGTAAAATTCACAGAGTCCGTTTGCGAACAAGCGCCTCGTAACGGAGTTATTCTTTCACCGTACGAACGCGTCGTCATCGTCGAAAGAGAGTAAGTCGCGTCTCGGGATTAAAATAGTCCGACCGAAGTAGCGTGGCAACATTGATTTACAATTTATGCGATTCTCCCCAAGTAGTCCAATATATCACGCGGCTCCGGCGTTCAATCCGAAAGCTCGGCCCCCGTCATAATTGTGGATTGCCTATCGCGACGGATGATTGATCGAATTCGATCTCGAATGGCCGAGAGTCTAACGTCGACTTTCAGTTGGCGTATTTCCTTCGTGTAAGAGAGCCCAACGATAAATCTCAATCCACCACACCGATTCCAATCCCGCGAGAATGACCCGCGAGGGGGCGAGTAGTTGAAACGGAAACGCAGCCGTGTGATAGGGGCCGCACGATTCAACAGGAGAAGGAAGAGAGGAGTCGAACAGAGTGGAATCCCGCGGGAGGAAACGAGAAGGGAAGTCTGCGCGCAGAGGGGCGTCCCGTGAACCCGAAATAGAAAAGCGGCGCACGAGTTGCCGCCAAGTATCAGCACCAAGGCGGTGGTGTTCTCCATGTGCATGGCTGCGTCGATTCGCCTCGCGACTGGCGCGGTACCGTCGTTGGTAGTTCGCGTCGGAACATGCCGCGCTCCGGCGTCCCGATGATGAGGTCCTCCCTGAGGAGCCGAGACTCGTCCTCGACGTCGACCGGCGTCGATCCGCGGGAGCGCATCAAGGACTGCTGTCGCAAGCTGGTGGCCTTCATGTGCACCCAGGTGGGCGTGGGTGGCTTGGTCGTCGGCTACGCGATCGTGGGCGCCTTCGGCTTCATGACGATCGAGACCCTGGAGGAGCCGGAGGTGGTATGCGTTCGCGAGTCCATTCGCAAGGACTACGCGGACGAGTTGTGGTTCGGCACCGCGAGCAATCAATCCGTCAATGTGTTCAACCGCACCGCCTTCTGCGAGGTGTCCAACACCATCCTGCTGCGCTACCAGGAGAACATCACCACCAACGAGCGCAACAAGGTCAACTGTACCGGCCTCAAGGCCACCGATCTATGGTCCTTCCCGGCGGCGTTGATGTTCTGCTTGTCGGTGTTCACGATGATCGGCTACGGCAGTCTGGTGCCGAAGACCCAATGGGGCAAGGGCGCCACTGTGGTCTACGCGGTCCTCGGCATTCCGCTCTACGTACTCTACTTCCTCAACATGGGCAAGGTGCTCGCGCAAACTTTCCGCTGGCTTTACACGCGGCTGCACGAGTGCACCGGTCAACGAAAACCCGGCCAGAGGATCACCGTACCTTCGACCGCTTGCCTCTGGGTGATATTCGGCTACATTCTTGCCGGCTCGATCATGTTCGCCGAGTGGGAGAAATGGGACTACTTGGACAGCGCCTACTTTTGCGTCACGTCGCTTTGCAAGATCGGCATGGGCGACCTGGTACCCGGTTGGAAACAAGACGACTCCATGGAGAACAATCAGACGAAGCTCATTATCAACTTCGTCTACCTCTTGTTGGGAATGGGTTTGGTCGCCATGTGCTACAATCTGATGAAGGAGGACGTTTACGTGAAAGCTCGAGAGCTCAAGGAACAACTGAACCACGCGATAGACGCGCTCCATTACAAGATAGTGACGTGTTGTAGGTCAGAACCTACGGACTGAAGGGGAGGATTTACGTGCTGATGCAACGTAGAAACTGCGAATAATGCCGGGATAGCATAGCCGTAAGAACATTATCAATCTTGGGAGAAGCAGTGCGAGTCATATAGCTTCTCGATTTTAAATATATGATTGAAGAGGTTTCAAATGTACAATTGAATGATGAAAAATGAACTTTGGCCGATGGAAAATGCACTGATAAACAAATGCTTGAAAATTTACGCGTGGGATAAAAGTTTATATTTTGTAGAAATAGATCTTGTATATCCCGCAAATAACTATTCAAGTACCTCTCTCTCAGTGTGTCGAGACAGACACACAGAAATTGTACAGATAAACATGTAAAATATAGAGAAGCGAAACGACACCATATCGAAAGTGACTGGTGCAAACGTTTTTGTAGATGCTAATTATCGACGACTGCGTATCGGCGATTACATATAGTTGATAGTTTATTATAGTTATAGTTATATTATTATAGTTATAGTTATAGTTATAGTTTATTATAGTTGATAGTTCATAGTCCATAGGCTCTCTTGTTGCCACACAATATTATCGCGACGATAATCTATAATTTCTAGTTTTAGAAACGCTAGAGAAGAGAAATCACTCCTATTTACGACACAGCTAATGGAGGCTGATGGGGACTACGAAGATGAACGGAGAAATTGTGGAACGAGAAAACCGTAGCACTTTGTATGAAGCTAATTGCAAAATCCATAATTTCTTGCATTCGGAATTTTTGCGTTGCATTATCGCGCGGAATAATGTTCTTGCGCGTCTGATTTATCGCGAGTTCGCGCGAAGACGACGGGAATTTATGGAGCTGCCGATGAAGTGTTTGTCAGGAGAACGGACACAGGTATTATACAACGCCAGATATATCGATCCGATGGGACGTGTCAACCGCGAAATAATTGTGCTTCCGATTATCCCGAGAGCGTGCAATCGCTCCGCCTCCTAATTTATCGATTATGATAATGTCTAGTCCGCTGAATTAATGAGCCTGCAATATGTCGCCGAGAAAGGATGCGCAAAACACACGCATAGATAAGGATACGTTACGTGCATTATCACACACATTCCACAAGAATTATTTGTATACGATCGCCCGGGAATAAAACTGTTGTTGCTAACCGACGAGTATGAAGCCTGCATTATTGATACGTGTCTGTCGTATATTTATCTGTTTCAGTTCATTGAAAAAAAAATACTTGAACATTTCTTTGTGGGAAACAAAGTTTATTTCTGTGAAATAAAGTTTGTATTTCTGTGTGAATAAATTCCGCAGATAAATTCTCAAGTATTGTTTTCTCAAATTAATTAGGTAAGGCTCTTAGATTTTGAAAAGTCTTATAAGAGAAAGACTAATGCGAGCCATACGTTGGACAGAAGTATGGAGAAAAAAATGTAAATAAATTATCTTCGACACATGTTATATTCTTACAAAATTAACATTTTTCTGCGTACTTTCTTCCAACACGTGACTCTCATTGGCCTTTCTCTTATAATTTTATTGTTTTTTCAGTGTAAGAATAATTTCAGTGATGGGATCTACGTGCCGCCTAGATTACACCTGACCTAAATTGTATTCTTCCGTTATACTTCCGTGTACGTGCGCATCTTTTATAAAGACGTTCACCGAGTTCTCCGATAGAACTTGGCCGGAAGACAAATAGAAATATACCACGGACGAATCATCAGTTTCGTCGACTTGAAGCCGGTCAAAATTAGACGCGTTTAATCGCCTCTGTTCTTCAGGGCAATGTACTGTTTAGCGTGCCTTACGCTTACACCGTATATACATATCCCTATCTGCCTTGAAATAATAATCCAGTACGATTACAGAAATAACTCGACCCGCAGCTCTTACGATTCTCACGTGCCATTTCGGTTTCGCTGCGAACGACCAACGAAATCGTCCCCTATAGCGACCAAAATTCCAATTTTTCGGCACATTAGGTCATGTTTTATTTATATTTTGGATAAAAATGGAAGACTTGCTTATATCACGGTATATATTATCACTGCATAAAGATTGTTGAGTGGAGTTGAGTATCGACACGTAATTCGTGATGGAGTAAGTTCTTCTTTGCACCGATAATTGGAGATTCTTGTGCGATCATAGTGTGAATTTGATAAAAGCGAAAGATACAACGCTATAACGTTCGTACGCTCGCACTGTATGCTGGCAACAGCTGATTATACTTCACACGGTAAAAGCGCGACTTGCTGAAGTGTGACGTGGCACAGCATTTTCTACGTTATCCGCACTCAGTAAGGTAAAATCAACGCGGCCAAAAGTAAGCACATTTTTTATCGCATATGTGCAACACGGATGATAACGTAACCTTAAGCTTCCATTTGGGCTTTCCATTGGAGTTTTTCAAAAAAACTACCAAAGATGAGCGATCGATAAATCAATATTAAATTCTTTTCTACTTTTTTTCATTTTTCTTGCATCAAAGGGTTACTTATCTACCTCCGCTATTTTCAAATTCAATTAATCTCTATGTCGATAGGTTTTTTCGATTCTATGTTCATAAACTTTACGACTAAATTTTACAGGATATTTTTATCTAGCTCCTACGGCACCGTTAGATGGTACCAGGCGTTCCGTTTGGTCGCGCTTCAATGGGTTTAAAGGCTTGGCTGTTGTGAAACCAAAGTGTAGTTTCTGAGTCTCTGTTATCGGCCGCCACCGTTTCCAAATCGAGATCGCAGCATGAAGCAATATAGGTCGGAAAGGCCTTTTTTTTCAATTAATACGACTCGGTGACAAGTCGATATAGGTAAGCATCACGAAAAATATATTTTATGAATGTTCATTTACTAGATATTTGAAACAGATATAGAAAGATTAGAAACTTTATCGAACTTCATTGAACACTTTCATTGCTTTTTATACAAAAAATCAGATACCAACTTCTCTTTTTTTAATGTCGCCTATCTTTGCTCAATACTTAAATATTATCATAAAAGAAAAATACTCTGCTGTGTGATATTTATCTCCTAAAATTAGAAAATTAATTGAAGCAGAGTCAAGCTACAAATTTAAAAGCAATTTGCTAAATGGAGAGATTCGACATCCGTGATATGTCACTCGAATCTTTTACTTATGCAAACAGAATCGTGCTTATTTTTAATGATGCAGTTAGTTTATGCGATAAGAAATGTGACTTTAGAGTCGTAAAATCGAGAAACATAATTCTCCTGACGAGATTCTTTTCATTTTAAAGAAAATACCCATGAGTGTTTTATTCGAAAAGAGGTAAAAGTGCTTTCGCGCAATGAGATAACGAGTCGCGCGGAAATGTTTCAGTCGCTGGGAAGGAACATTCATAATTCATAAGCCCCAATGCAAAAGAGAGATAGAGAAAGCTGTGCATACGGACCGCGGTTGCAAGAAGCGGTGTTTTTAATCGGCCGTTCCGTGCTAATTTACTTAAACTTTTATGTGCCGACCGCGGTTCAACATCTAATGGAATTTAAAGCAAGTCACGTTAGCGGTCGCAGTAATTCGAATGCGGACGGTGTGTATCGATTAAACATGGATAATGGTGGATAATGGTGTAACAGCGATCATTAAGTATCTAGTAATTGAAATTATTTGCTCGAGTAAAAAACCAATTGCACAGAATCTAGTTATTAACGCCATTATCATTGCTGCATGAACGACCAATTCGCTATCGCTAATTTAATGGTTACATTTTCGCGTATCATACGTATAACAAGCAGATGATTCCATTGTTTTACCTTGTTTTAGGATGAATTAGACGTGAAAATCGAATGACACTCTTATTTACTTCAATAAAATAAAATTGCAAACGATCGCGCGCGCCTCTATCGAGAAAGAACCCGAAGATACCAACAACGGTCGAATCAACTGCGCTGGGAATCCTCGCTTGGAAAACCCCACGGGGGAATTATCACTTGACCGACGACAAGTTGGCACTGCCGTCGAATTGCTGAAATTTGCAGCGGGGAAAGCTTGCGGACGTCCGAGCTTGCTGGCGCAATTTGTCGCTTTCGCTTGGCATCTGAATGCGAGCGGACTGCAGTCCTTCAGGATTGCCGAATCACTGCGGAATCGTTGTTTTCCTTTTCTCGCTATGTACTTACGTGCTTATATACGAAAAAGTCCAATACACGTGGAGGGCCTTAGTCAGGTGATATCAGCAAAACGGACAGGCGGAAACGTCGACACCGTTCGGTTGAATAATGCATTACCGTGAAGGGAAGCAAAAATCACGCGCTCGCTTCCTTTTCTCGCTTTTCCTCCCTTTTCGCGTCGTGTAATTCACATTTTTCATTATATTGTCGCGTAACGTAATGAGATCCTTCTTTTTAAGGAAGACTGCGAGCCAAAAGCAAGTTTACATTAATCACGTTACTGGGCTCCATTCAGGATTACTGCTGAATCGGAACTCTTTGCTTGTCTTCGGCAATGAAGGTGGGAAGGTTTCCAAATTTTCGCCGACTGAATTTTAATGATCAGCTTTTCGAAATTAGGGGGATTTAGTCAAGGCGCGTCCGCCATGATCGCGCACCGGATATGAAACAAATTTCATTAAACTGTCGATCAAGCGCCGAATGTTTGCGCGATCGTTCCTCCGTTTAATTGCATTTCTCTTACCACGTAGCGCGTTCGACATTTATCGCGGAGATGCATTAGCACTCTTGACACGGAAAGAACGACCTTCCAGCGACTCCGCCGTGCGATTATATAGTGGTCTCGCGAAAGTCGACGAGACGAGTTGAGTGCCGCTGATCGGCGTCGCAATGATGGCAAAGAAATATGTTTGCTTTAAACTGTAAAATATTTGCCGGGATATATATTGACGGAGATATTTTCTTCTTTACCGAAGAGTTCCAGAGGCAGACACCTGAATCAACATCGTGTGCAGTACGCTCTCCCACAGCGGCAACTCGCGCTTCGCCGGGGCCGCTGTTGATTCTGACAGATTTGCGCCCGAAAGAGCCGTCAAAGAGAACTCGAAAGTTTCGTGGGGAGATTCTACTTCGACATCACGAAACAAAGCCAACTTCTCGCGCGCACGAAGACTATGGTAACAACTGCGACGAAACCTGGCACGCGTGCGAGACGACGATGGTGACGACGAAATTTACAGAAATAACTGTTCAAAGGTATAATTAACGATAGTACATGAAAGATAAATTTATGCAATCTGCGTGTACGCATGCACGAAAGTTTTACATCCTATTAACTCAAATAGAAAAATTTCTGGAAAAAAACTAGCCAATTTTCATTAGGATTAGTGAGATAGTAACTGCGTTCAGAAACTGGACAGAAAAATACTGGTCAGTATTTCTTTTTGGTCCAATTACTGGTCAGAAACTAATAAAAAGAATAAAAATAACAAGCAAATGTCTACCTTCTAAAACACACGTTTTACATTATTTTTATATCGAATAGTAAAACATGATATTTTATGATATAGAAGCAAACAATAAAAACTATAACAAAAAACTATAACAAAAACTTTAACAAAATTTTATACAAAAAATATTTGGTTAAAAAGTAGCCAGAAATTGATTAGTTTTACCGTTACTGGCGAAGCAATAGCGTCTCAAAAAACTAGCCAGTAATCAAAAGAATTCCTTGCAGTCACTAGGCTTGCTAAAAGAGTTGGTTTCTTTTACTTAGAAATTTATACTGCTGTGCAAAATTTCTACTCAATGTATATTTTGGATTACCGATAAATTAAAATACAACTTGCAGACAGGGATATTCCCTCGCTAAGATAATCCACGAATTTTAATCAATCCCGAGGCTTAGCAGATTATAATCTAGAGAACTCTCTCTCTCTCTCTTTCTCTCTTTCACTTTCCCTCTCTCTCTCTGTCTCTCATAATAAAAGGGAAATCCCCTTATCTTCTTCGTGGCCTCAGAGAGAGAGAGAGAGAGAGAGAGAGAGAGAGAGAGAATTAGAATGATAGATA